TCTTCCCCAAACCCAGCAGGCTATAGAATGGCCGGCCAGGGGACGGCAGGTAGGCCAGGCGGTGGGGATGGCTGGCCGGCAGTTTAGGGGAACTGACGGCAGTAGCGGTGTCCGAGCCAGGTCGGGGTGAGAGCGCCATGGCCGGACTTCAACGGAGCTCGCCGGAGTTCGCCATGGCCACATGCGGGGGGGGCGAGGAGGGGGGGGGGAGGGGAAGGGAAGAAGAGGTCGCCGCCGACAGTAGGGTCTCGCCGGAGCTCCACGGTCGCAACCGTGCTCTGAGGCGAGACCCTACCGCCGGCGGCGAGGCGTTGGGCGCAGGTGAAAGCCCTAGTTTGATTTTGGATAATTGATGAAACCTAGGGACTAATCATTATGCTAAGTGTGTAGACATGAAATGATAAGTCCCATGCCAAGTGATGGAGCTAGATAATGGTCATAGTGATGGAGGTGACCAAAAGATGATCAAGTGCTTCACATTTGGAAAAGAAAAAAGAGAAAAACAAAACCCGATGGAAATCAAGGCAAAGGTGTTGCTAGGGTTTTGGTTTTGGTGATCAAGACACCATAGATGGTGTGATCACGTTTAGGATCGATAGTCGTACTATAAAGGGGGGAATCCTTTGGCTATTTGGTCTCATAAGTGCCACTAGATGATGACTTACATGCATGTGCATTAGGATCTAGTGGAGAGCTAACATAATCCTTGAAAAATGTTTGTGAAAATATGCTAACACACGTGCACAAGGTGATACACAAGGTGGTTGGCACATTTGCAAGGGTTTTGAGAGGAAGAGAAAAGTGGAGACTCCCTCTCGGTAGGATTCGGCGAAGAAACAGAGGCGAAAAAGGTCACTGGAAGTGACCGGACGCTAGCCTCGGAGGCACCTGCGCGTCCGGTCAGTGTTGGTCGAGCAGAGCAGTAGGCCGGTGAAGCTGAGGCGCGACCAGACGCTGCACAGGCAGTGTGACTGGACGCACAGAGGGAGAGTCCGGTCATGAATGACGTATGGTGACATCAGCAGCTGAGTCTCGCGTGGAACAGAGAGAGAGTGATCGGACGCTGTGGAGCGTCCGATCAGCATAGACCGGACGCGTCGGGTCGACTTTTTCTGGTTCTGGAACCTCTCTGTACTCGATCGGACGCCACGTGGTGGAGAGTCCGGTCATTTCTAATAGCACGTCTGGTCGATCATTAACCGCGTGCTGACTGGCTAAGTGACCGTTGAAATCTAACGAACGTTATTTGAACAGGGACAAGTGGCAGCCATCCGGACGCTTAGACAGTAGTGACCAGACGCTGAGGCTGCGTTCGGTCAATCCAACCGGCGCGTTCGATCAGGTCGAGCAGTACCTCTTCGTGATCCTAACAGCTCTATTTGTTTTGAGGGCTTATAAATACGTGGTGGCCAGCTCCAAGGGATCTTTCTTGGTCATTTGAACATCTTGACATCCTTGTGAGCTGAGCATACTCCCTTCCACTTATCTCCCTTGCTTGGTTGCTAATCCAAAGTGAGATTGAGTGATCCAAGTGCATTGTGCTTGTGAGTTTGCATCTTAGTGGCACTTGGGTGATCTTTGGCTGCGGGATTCTTGTTATTCTTGATGGTTGTCGCCACCTAGACGGCTTGGAGCAGCGGAGGAGTTGTGGCAAGAGTTGGTGATTGTTCTTGGCCACCTCCCGGTGATTGTGAGGGGTTCTTGTGCCTTCCCCGGCGAAGCGCCAAAGGCAACTCTAGTAAATTGCTCGTGTCATTGAGTTACCTCACTTGTGGGTAGGTTTTTGTGGTGTCCACGGGTTGGACGAGGTTCGTGTTACAGCTCTTAGCCGCCGAACGACCAAGTGTTGGTCGACACAACGGGGATTAGTGTGCCGGTAAGCACGTGAACCTCGGGAGAAAAATCTTGTGTTCATCTTGTGTATGATTGGATTTCTCCCGGTGATTGGTCATCATATATTGTGATTGGTTCATCCTCTATGCGGTGGTATAAAGATCACATACCTCTCATTTACTTTTCGTCAAACTAGTTGCAACACACTCTTTAGTGTAATTAGTTTTAAGAGCTTGTATTATCTTTGCTAGTGTAGCTTCTCACCTAGTTGAGCTCTTTAGTGTAACTAGCTTTTGAGAGCTCGTAGTGACTTAGCCTTTGATTGTTATAGCGATCATAGTGACTAGAATTGTTGGATAGATGGCTTGCAACCCTTATAGAGCTAGAGCAAAATTGCATTTTGTCATTTATTATACTAACCTTTTGTTCTAGTGATTTTGTAGATTTTTTAATAGGCTATTCACCCCCCTCTAGCCATATTAGGACCTTTTAGCAGGGGCGGTGGGAGGTGGTGGAGGCAGGAGTGGGGGCGAGGGGGGCAATCTGGATCTAGAGGGCGAGGGGAGGAGGCGGGGGTGGAGAGGGCCGAGGAGGAAGACGATGCGGGGCAGAGAAATTACGTGCGGGCGGAAGTGCCGTCGCGTGCGCACGCTGCCTCTAGTAGAGCCCATTTAAATTAAATGACTATTGTTTATTATCATCCATGTGGTGAACTCTCATGCCCTTAATTATTAATCTCAAGACGAAACATTTTTCTATCATAGTACATATTGTTTGGAGATATGAATAAATCGTCGTTTAGCTCCACATGACTACTTTGTAGTTATTTTCTTAAGAAAAACAATTCATGAACGAGCTGTAGCTCGTTGGCCCTCGTGTGTTCCGCCAAAGCACAGGTCTAAGATTCGACCTAATCTCACGTGGGTTATAGTACCGTTGTGTATGGGTGGGACATGATTTTGTGGGTTTTCTCGATCTACGTGAGAAAGTCACCTTTTATCTCAATTCTTGCGCCCTGTTCGGCTGGCTGGAAAAATAGCTGCTGATTTGTTGTGAGAAAAAAATACTATTATTTCACTAAAACAGTACGGCTGGTAAGTTCAAGCAAACGAGATCCTAAGTTGAATGCCCGAGGGTTGTCTACCCTCACGGATCGAGTTTAGAAAAACAATTAAAATTTCATTAATTTGAATGGAGAAGTACAGATTGAGATTGTTGATGCAACAAGACAGATATCAGCAAGAAACGTTGAGTAGTACTTGGTTCGGTAGGAATTAGGAAATCGAATTCGTGTAAGCTATGCACTTGTGGATTAATTCTATATATCTCATTAATGAAAAAATGTACAATTTTTTTTCTGGAACATCAGAGTGGGGTCGCTCGAGTGTGTTTGATTTTTGAAGTATGTTTTCTCATTTTTCACGGATGAATTTTGGGGCCTTTGGAAGGGATTTCTTATTGGGTACAGACGGGTCTGAACCCGGACCCACTTACAGAGAGCGGAGGCGCATCATGACGACTCACGAGCTCAGTCCAGCTGAGTGAGGACCACCCCAACGGTCGGGAAGGTTGAAAGTTGACTCTGGCTTCAACTTTTGACTTAACCCCCTGATGATTCGTATAATTATGAGGTGATTATAAATTTCCGCCACCGTCAGAGATTTTGATTCTCTTTCCGACAGCACACTATAGAGCATAAATAAAATAAGAAGAATGGGATACGAGGATGGCATCTTCTTTGCGGTGACGTGTCAATAGAACCAGCAGATTCAAACTATTTTGTCCTTCATTTTGTAACACATTTCTTTATTGTAAATTTTTCTAACACAATTAATCATTCAAGAATAAATAGCGAGAGCCGGTAAGTATTTGTATTGGGTCAAGATATGCAACATAAGCTAAACTTTGCAATGGTAAAAATCGCCCATCAGGAGGGGTGAAAAATCAATAACTCTTCAACTAGAAGGACAAGAAATATTTCTCACCGTACCATGGGCGACTTTTGTATTTGTGGTGCATCCCATGTGTGTTCTACGTCGTGATGCGCAGCACAGTTTTAAAAATTTTAACCTTTTGATAAGAACTAAGATGAGGACAATTTATATAAAATTGCTGCTCCGAATAAGATCTATAACTTCCTAGTTCATCATTTTTTTTATCTGAAAGCCATTTAAATGCCCAAATGAGGGCTGCAAAGCTAAAATCTGTCTGTTGATTTCAAAATAGATGTAGACTTTGTAGCGTTCTTGTGGGTATCAAAACTGACTTAAATAAAAAAAAGGACTACAAAGTTATAGATCTTGTCGAAATCCTTTAATACTTTTTAGATAATTTTAATCTTATTCTGAGTTCACATTGGAGACAAAATGTTCCAATTTTCCAATAGTTGGCAGTTGGCAACCAATGTGTTCACAACCATAGTTGCCTCCGCAAATAGATAAATGGAGGGATGAAAGAATGACACTTTTGGACTTTGACACGTCCTAATTAAACAGAACACTGAAGAGATATAGAGCATACCCTCTGCAGTACGGAAAAGCCTGCTGACGTTGGAAAGGACAGCCTCAATCTAGTGAAGAACTTGGCAACAAAAAGTTCTTCTAGAGCAATCTCCGAATTTGGAACATTGATGAAACTAAACCGAGCATCAGCACTTATCTTGGCTAAAGGCCATCAGTAGACTTACGTCCCTTATTTTTCTCTATGCTGTCATCAGTCAAAGGCCTCAAAAGCCTTAAAGCTCATGCTCAATGTTCACAGACCCTGCTCTCATTGCATACAAATACAGTTCTTAATATTTTGCACCCTACTACCTATTTCCCAGGAATATTAAACGAATCAATCACATGGCAAAAGTAGAAGAGGAAAATTTGCCACAATCATACACAGTATTAAATTCCACGTCATACTTTCATACATAAGTCAATATTGTTCTGATAATTAGATTGCAAACTCAAGTTCCCAAGCACAAAGTGAGTACAATCCTGATTCAGCTACCATCTTGCAGAGGAGCCCAAGATAGCATCAAACTAAGTAGCAAGCTACTGGCTTTAGAGATAAATAGTACTACTAATATTACCGATACCAGTGATCTAGAATACATTTAGGAGTGCAGCACAGCAGCAAAATCAAGTAAGAGACATCGCACTGAAAACCACGATTCCGTTCTATTCATTTCCCTCTTGATTTAGAGGCCCTTGCACTTGTAATTTGAGCTCCTTAGGCACTTGACACATGCCAGCAGCTCCTGGCCTCTCATCTGCAGAGACCGCAACACCAGCTCCTGGTCCCTCATCTCTAGAGACCACAACACCAGCTCCTGGTCCCTCGTCTCTAGAGACCGCAATATCAGCTACTGGCATCTCATCTGAAGAAATGGCAACACCAGCTCCTGGTGCTGCATAAGAAATAAAAATACAAAATATGAGAAATTGATGGGAACAATGAACATTCGGTCTACAGAAATCACACAGGAGCCATCAAGTTGGCTCCGATGGCTAACAAAACAGCACTGATTTATTATCCGGTCAATGGTCACAGATCCACAACATCATAAAGATGAACTCAAACTAGTCCAGATCTAGGAGTGTATCCAATCCAATTTGTACTTCTACAATGTTATCAAGTGACATTAGCAATTTAGCATACAAGAGATGATTGAGGAACATATATATCATTAAAGATTGGCATGAGGCTAATATTTGAACTTTAGAAGCTCATGTATCTAGGTAAAACCTTTTATGTAGGTACCATATGGGTAGGAGTAATCTGATTTTTACATGAGGTTCAGATATCATACTTTGACAGGGATGTTGTTGTCCCCCAAAAAAACAGAGACAAATGTTGTTGAGCCCATGTGCAATTGACCATATTTTCATGGTGAACTAACTACTTGTGCAAATTAGGAAGTGATCAAATATTCAAATGCGTACCTGGAGTGCAGAAGCTCACGTAGGGAACAACGCGACCTGAAGAGACCTCCCCTACCTTTTTGCAACTCCCAGACTTCAGATCGATGGTGAAATACCCAGCACGTGTCCATAAGAAAATGACACCAGCTCCAGTATCTGCAAAGGCGATCACCAAAGGTTTGGCTAGGATGGCTTCAGATGGTTCTAGTACCGGATCAGGCAGGGCATCAGCTGGGAGTAGCATGTGAAGGTCAATGGCTCTGCTTTCTTCCAATCTCCCATTCTCCCTTAGCCACAGGCCAAGTGTTGAATTGCTTGCCCTGGCAAATCCTAGCCTACCATCCTCTGCAGCAATAAGCCTAGAGCTATGTTCCATGATGTCGGGTGGGACACCAGGTCCTATTGTTATGGAAATATTACACATTTGATGTGTCCGCAAGTCATACTTGACGATTTCATTGGTACATATACACGTGGTGTAGAAGGCAGTGCCAATGGGGATACATTTCCCTGGGAGAAAGAAATTCTCGGACTCCGCAGCAGCAAAGACGGGATCACTCCAGCTACCCGCCTCGGATGAGTAGAAACAAGAGAAATCCCTGTCTTCACGATTTCCCACGAAGACTACCTTGAAATGGCAGTGGAGATGGTCGCAGCCGTCGCCTCCGGCGCAGATGACGGCCGCGTCCCAGTTGGCCGTGTTCTGGTATCGGGTCGGCCGCACTGGCACCACGGGCAGGTCCTGCTGCTCGTCCGTGATGGGATGCCACACGGAGAGGAGGACATCCAGATGCTTCACGGGCACGGGCAGGTCCTGCTGCTCGTCCGCGATGGCAAGCAGATCCTCCCCGGACAAACGATGGAGAAGGACGCGGCCATGGCTTGAGCTGACCGCTCGCACACCGCGGCGGTGGGTATGGGGCGGGCGAAATGATGACAGAGGGACGAAGCGGATGGAGTCGGCGCGACTGAGGATGTAGCCCAGCAATGGTGTCGAGCGGTACAACTCACGGAATCTACGGCGGAAGGAGGGGCCGGTGACGACGCGGTACCACTGCCTGCTGACGAGGGCGGCGCGAGCGAGGAGCGCGGGGTCCTCCGGTGGCAGGCGGAGAAGGAACTCTTCCACGAGCTCGTCCATCAGAACCGCCAGATCCGGTGGCGGCGGCTAGGGTTTGGGAGGGCGGGCGATTTGAGGATGGCGATCTGGGAGCTGGGTGCGACTCGAGTGGAGTGATCGCGCAGTGAACTGATGTGATGCTGCTGCCGTGCTGCGTGTCTGGTACTCAGGTAATCGAGCCTTTTTTTTTTTCCTTCTGTTTACCATTAAAAAAGATTTTTTTTTCTACGTGCCACTAAAAAGTTTAGACTTACCTAGGTACTATGACACTTTACCCCTCCCAAGACATTCCGTCCACGTTCTGTTTGGTTTTGACAATTTGAAAGCCCTGACAGGTGGGATCGGGCAAGAAATTTGTCCATCCTACCATTTGAGACGGAGGGGCATATGAGGGAGAGGTCGTGTTGACCGACCTTGACCGCCATCGCATTCTCACTCTCGCTTCTCTCTCATTCTCTTCCCCAAATCCTAGCTGAGGCGGGTGGCGGCGGACGCGGAACCCTAGCGGCGGCGGCGGCAGGCAGGGGGTCTCTTTGGCGCCAAGCCCAGTGCCTTTGGCGCCAAAAAAACTTGCCCACGTCAGCCGTCTTGGCGCTCAAACGCTTGGTCAGGAAGTGGCACACAGGGCAAATAGTAATTTCACTCATCCTCCCTGGACTGAGGGCACTTCGGTCTTTTCTCCTCGCCGTTACACACCGTTACCAACGAAAATGGACGGAATAGCCTAGGGGGCAAAGAAATAAAGTATCATGGCACCTAGGTAAGTCTGAATTTTTAGTGACCTGTAGAAAAATGCTATCTTTTTTAATGGTACACAGAAAAAAGGCTCCAGGTAATTGGGCTCATGGTGATGGGCTCCAACGGATAACAATATGGGCCCTGGATGAGGTGTGCTTAAAAACGACAAGAGAGAGAAGCAAACAACGAGCAAAATTGACGTTTCCTCATTTACAGTATCATGTCCGTACATTGCTATGAGACAACAAATTTTTTATATTAAAATGCATAGATCGCACAATATATAATAACATTATAAAATTAAGCACTGATATTAAAATGACATTTAATTAAAAAAATAAAGTTCCTCAAATTAACACAGTCACGGTATAGCATAATGCCAAAGTGGACTGCACATACTATACTAATTACTAATACCCGTTGTTCAGTCTCAGACTTATCGAACATGACTGTAAGACATCTGTTAGCCTGTTCGGGAGACCGTATTGGATCGTGAATTATTTACTGCTGGCTGATTTGGTGTGAGAGAAAAACACTGTTTCTGGCTGGAAATTTACGATCGTTTACGACCAAGTGAACAGACTGTGTACAGGCCATGTCCTTGAAAATTGCACAAACTGTAAACAGAGGCTCCAGTAGACAATTTCTGGTAGCATATATAACACCAATACTTGGTTTCTACATATAGTGAGATAAGAAAGATATGTGCTTGTTTTGACGGTGTCATGGACTCATGGGAGTACATGGAACCAGGCTGGTGGAAGGCTAGGTAGCGCTCGGCAAGGACGAGGTGCTCGGCAATGGGTTGGTCCCACTACTCACCGCGGAGGTGCACCTCGGCATCAGCACCGTCAGTCATGGCGAGGGAGAAGTGGGAGGGCAGCCATGTAGTTTTGACGAAGACAGTGCCAGCAGCCACCGCCACCGCCTTGGCGCCATCCATGGGCTGATGGGCACCGAGAGTTTAGCGCAGCTATGCCTCACCGCCGCCACAGAAGAGAATGCTGCCATGGTCATCGTTGTCGATGGCTCGATGCCAAGCCCAATGAGGCAATGAGGCCTGTTTTGGGAAAATCAATAGAATCTGAAACACAGTTAGCGAGAGGCCTATTTTTGGGCCCTGTAAGATCGAAAAGAAAATGTGACTCAACATCTAAAAGCTCTTCAGTTTGGCGCAAATGCAGCATGAGTGCATGACCAAAATAAATCAAAGGGAGGAAAATATTTCATCGTAAGATAAAAAACAAACTAAAAATTATAGGTTTGGTTGTTTATTCATAATATACCTATAATTTGGCCATTAAATTAGTATTAACACACCTTTGATAATATATTGTTTAGGGAAATAATGTATCACACATGACAGTTCATCTATCTACTTAAACACTCTTTTTGCCCTCCACTTTGGTGAGTCGTACCTCGGCAGTCCATCTGATATGGCACAAGAACCAGCCTGGTATATCTAAACTATTGCCGCCTCGACTTGCAAACCTTTCATGGCTTCTTTGTGCTTGTACAAACTGATTGGACACACAAATTAATGCATGAATGTGAGACACAAGACAATGGCATGGATACAAATCTTCAATAGAATTGTGCCTACCTTGTGAAGTATTCTGAAATGATTGCCTTGCTTTTACCCAAGAAGCATCCAGTCGAATGCCAAGTCATACTCAGATGATGTTGGGCTGGGAGAAATGTGAGATTGATACAGGCTTCTTCTGCAAAAGGATATATGTGTAAAATATCAAGCCTTAAGTAGTCCCTCAAGATTTCAGAAGCTTAAGTAACCCTTTGCTGCAGAATGTAATTGGATTTTTTATGAGGATGTCGATGTTTTACCACCGATAGCCTGCCACGGGGGTACCCGGGACAGTTGTTCGGGCTTCGGCGTATGCTGAACTCGACGGTTAACGCAAGAGACAGTCGATTTATCCTGGTTCGGGCCCTCGATCGTGATCGAGTAATAACCCTATGACCGGTCGGCGTTAGCCTTTGCGTTAGATTGATCGTAATGTTGTATTGTGATTGTTGCTGTTCTGCCTCTTTGTACCCTCTCGATCTAGGATCCTTGCCTACCTTTATATAGCCCAGGATGCAAGAATCCTAGTCGGTTTACAGTGTAGAAGTCATAGTAGGATTACAGGGTAACTCTACTACCAATATTACATGGAAGGAGTCCTAGTCAAACTAGATCTTCTCTCTTCCTTGCGGGGTATCCCGTGGATCCCGCATCGATAAGCCCCCGAGCACTTCATGGTTGAACTCTGGAAGCCTCGTCTTGTTCCTTCAGGTCTTGCCGAGTAGGAACAAGCATCGTCCGGGTGCTTTCTTGAGTGAAACTGTGTAGCGCTTCTTGAAATCTTCGAGTGGTGTGCTCTTTTTTTTGAAAAAGCGCACCCACTGGGTGTAGCCCCCGAGCCTCTTGCTACTTGGAACAAGGAGCTGGAGGGTCTTATCTTGAAGAAGTCTTCTGAGTGACGTGCGCTTTTTCAACGAAAAAGCGCACTCACTGAGTGTAGCCTCCGAGCCTCTTGCTATTTGGAACAAAAAGTTGGAGGGTCTTGAATCTATGTTGTTTGGAAAAACTGAAAATCTCTCCTGAGCATATATCCGGGTTCTTTTATTCAAAAATAACTTGGATATAGCTCGGTCCGGGTTCTTTCGTCTGAAGCCTTGAAGTGGTCCTGTCTCGAAGAAGTCTTTTTAGCGACATGCGCTTTTTCAAAGAAAAAAGCGCACTCACTGAGTGTAGCCCCCGAGCCTCTTGCTATTTGGAACAAAGAGTTGGAGGGTCTTGAATCCTTGTTGTTGGAAAAACTAAAAATCTCTTCTGAGGATATGTACCCTGCAGCCCCCGATCATATATCCAGGTTCAAGAAGAACTCGGATCGAGTGTCTTTTGTCATGTTCTTAGGTAGCCTGCTTTCTGCAGTCGAGTTGGTTGAATGGTACGCAGTCACGGGTTGCACAGTGCTAGCATATTATTCTAGATATTCTGTCCTTGAGTGCTTGTGTCTACACATATGGTAGCTTTTCCTTTACTGCTTTCTGTCACTTCTTTGATTGTTTCATCAGGTTGAATTTGTTGGTGCACCTGGATACCATTGAAGAAACAGATCTTGAAGTCGATGATTGAGTCGGGAAGATTGCTGAGAATCTTAATATCAATATTTCTTTTCCCGATGACAACGCTTGTCTTGGTTGTAATCGTCTTTTGTACTCCAGACTTTTTTGTAAAGAACAATATACTATGTCGCCTTGTATGGAGATTTTTTTTCTTTCAATGTAGCTTCCTTTTGTTTCTCTGCATAGATGTCTTCGCCTTGTTTATTCTTTGGTCGAGTTATCTAATTGATCAGAACTTCTTTCGAGATGTCGCTTCTTGGGCGTGGTACGCATCCGCAGCTTAGAGTGGTCGTGTTCTTTCATCCGTTGTAGGATAACTCCTTGATAGGTCGAGCGCTTCGTTGGCTTGATAGAGTTTCTTGATAGGTCGAGTGCTTGTCTGGCTCTTATCTGCGTCGTGTAAACAACTTGGGGTATGTCGATCGTTAGCTTGATAGAGTCCCTTGATTTGTTGAGTGCTTGTCTGGCTTTCATCTGCGCCATGTAAACAACTCGAGGTTTGTTCGAGTGTTTAGCTTATCAGCTTTCTTGCTCTCATCGGCGGGCTCAAGCATCTTTTTAGCTTTTTTGCTCAACTTGGTAGGTGGCCAGCATTTGGCTCTTGCGGTTCGAGTTTTAGCTTATCAGCTTTCTTACTCTCATCGGCGGGCTCAAGCATCTTTTCAGCTTTTTTGTTCAACTTGGTAGGTGGCCAGTGAAAGCATCTAGGCCCCTAATTGGGTTTCGGTGATTAATGACAGTACGTGATTATTATGACTAACGTGTGTTTTTCAGAGACAATTAAGTTAGGTCATGGTAATGGAGATCGATTGGGCTATCATGGTGGTCATGCCCCTACGTTGGAAATCGTTTTGGTTTTTAAAGGATGAACAAGGTTAAGGATGGACTAGTTCTAAGTGTCGTTTGGAGTTGAAGAGACACTTAGAGTAGTTTAGGACTTTGTTTTTCTCCTTTGGCCGTACTATTAAGGGGGGTATGGACGGGTAGCTTGACCTAGGTGTGTCTAGTGAGTTAGGTGTGGTGCACACTTGTTATAACTAGCACTTGGTAGCTCCAAAACAGCCCTTAGATCCAATGGAGCAAACTTCATTCACATATGATCGAGAGTTGGAAGTGAATGGAGGGTCAAATACTGACCGGACGCTGGCTCCGGT